ATTTCTAGGGTTCATAATGAGGAAAGACGGTTTGGAGAATTTGACACACACAAGCTATAATGAATCTTAGGGCTAGATCACATTGAAACACCAGTTCCCGTACGATCGCCGAAGTTAAGCATCATCGAGCCTGGTCAGTACCTAGATAGGTGACCGCTTGAAAATGGGCGATGTAAGCTCGAATTTGTAGGTGGTATTTGTGGTTTGGAATTGTTAATCGTAGAGATAAGTTCCAATTCCAGTTGGGTTCGTTATATTCAAATAACCTTATGCTGTTGTGCATGTGTGTATCTGGTACACACATATCAGAGTGGATATTATAATGTGTATACTGTACTTTGTATACGTGTACACCAGCGTCAGATTGTTGATGCGCTATTCTCTCGATCAATAATAATAATAATAACCATCCAGACCCGGTTACGGAGATAGCACCTGTTACAATTTTATGGGACTACAGAATACACACTGACAGAACAATCAAAGCTAACCACCCAGGCATGGTTATTAGAGACAGCAAACAAAAAAGTGCCTCCTTATTCAAAAGGCGGTCCCTGAAGACTAATGTATAAATGAAGATCTTGAAAAAGCAATCAAAATGTAAGGATAACCTTGAAATCGAAATCTCAAAAAAGGTGGCACATGAGAATCCTTGTTGTAGTTGGAACCCTCGGATTGGTTGGAAAAGATTCCAGTAGGCTCATTGAAGGGATTCCTGGCGGCCCATGCATTAAAAAAGCACAAAAAATTGTTCTCACGAGTACAGCCCACCCCTTACGAATGGCTTTTTAAATTGGTCGCTGGAAAATGTCATGATACCATTTCTAACCTTAGGTCTCTGGGCGAGACCCGGAAGAAAAAGTATATAAAATAAAAATAAAAATAAAATAAAATAAAATAAATAAATAAATAATAATAATAATAATAATAATAATAATAATAATAATAATAATAATAATAGCATAATTACGGTCAGAAGATCACTACTAGTTATAGAAAACAAGACAAAAATATTTGATGTTTCCTTCCGGTAACTCCTGTAGTCTAGCCGTCCCCAAATGTAATGACGTGTATTCTTTTGGATCTTGTCGGTACGGACGAGCGTGAGGCCATGTCGTCTGGCCAGAGTACGATCTCCATATACCATCGCTAGTCTAGATGGAAAACAGTGAGTTCAAAGCACGTTGTAGGTCTTGCATCTTTAACTTCTGAGAGTAAGAGCATGGTAACCTCAACTTCCCATGTGCAAAAGGAACCGGTAAGCCATTATCCTATTCTGGTTTTAATATCTCCATGATCGACAATTGTGAGATGAAGGAGAGTGGTAACCAAAGCGAGACAAAATGCGCTACCTGAATAAATGAATTAATGTTCCAATAACCTACAGTTAGATACTATGTAATTTAAGGTCGATATTGTTCAATCTAAGGCAGTGACTGATTCTCGAAGAATTCTGCAGATCTCCAGAACGAAACTCCTCTCTTTTAATCGCCTTAGATAACATATTTTGCACCCTATCGGGCAAACGTTTTCTGTTGACATGAGGTAGAAAGATTATATAGAATCAAATGCCAGGACTGTAGCTAGGAAATTTGATTCACAGTGTCGTGATAGACAATTCTTTCTCAACAGAATTTATCTTACACATTTATATGCCTACCATTTGTCCGTGAAGTGAATATTGCTGCCCCATCTATTCTGGTACTTCTACTATGTATTTAGAGACTCTTGGTAAAAGCCAAATAAGAATCGGTAATGTTATCGGACTTGTAATGTTATATCTTCTCGGCTTAATGTAGTTTCCTTGTGACAAATAAAAACAAAAATACTAAAGATCTTCGGATCATCAATCTAACGGTTCTTTCCTATTATATCAATATATTTTGCGCGCATATATATATATATATATATATATATATATATATATATATATATATATTAATAGAACTCTTATAAGTATAAGAAACTATACTCGCTTGAAAACCTTCAGTGAATTGATTTGCAAATAAACAAGCCAATACCAAAGGGAAAAAAAAGTTATATATAAAAAAGAAGAACCAAGAACATGTACGTTAAATGAAAATAAGCGCCTAGCACACAAGTTCAAGGCCCAAAGAAAAAAAACCCGATGCGAGTACCCAAAACAACTAAATAAAGTGCACAATACAATGAGTAGAGCAAACCTAATTAAATTTGGAGAGCCAGACAAATCTATCAAGGTTTCACCTAAGCGGATCGTCAGGAAGGCCAGCTTAGTTGAAACCTTGATAGATTTGTCTGGCTCTCTAGGTCTAACTAAATATATATATATATATATATATATATATATATATATATATATATATATATGGAAAATAAATCATAATATTTTTTTCCACATTACAACCAAAAAACTTTGCGGTATCTCTCTTCTTTTTAATATACACACTTTTCGCTCGTTGGAACTACTATAACCTCTTCCTTATATATATATATATATATATATATATATATATATATATATATATATATATATATATATATATATATGTACCTTTGACTTAAAGAATACATTGGCAGTTAGGTCTAATCATGTTGCAGTTGAAATTTTCTTTTCTCGTACTTCTTTCGATGCAGTGTCAATCGTCATCTTCTGTCTCTAATTCATGTTATAATATTGTTCTGCCTTCTCAATAAACTTTTCGGTTTTCTTACATTTCACAATCAGTAACCGTACGTCCGAGAGTGGGGTTTTGGACTCACGGCCTTAGTGGCTTTATTACCTTGCTTCGAGTGAAATGATTAAAAAACAATTAAATGTTTTGCGCTCAATCATTCTTTATTGATGACCATCTGATAAGAACAAATACGTAATAGCATGAAGTTTGATGGATATTTTCAGAGTATAAATTTCAGTCTGTGGTTTATCCACTGGATTTCCAGTTCTATCGACTCGAACACTTTTATGATGTCAACAAAAAATCGTTGCCACTTTTGTAATGTCAATGAATACTCATTGTCACTTTCGCAATGCTCGTTGTAGCAGAGACTTTGTAATCGCAGATAGAACTATAGTACACCGTTGAACAATATTGGTGTCAGATACCTTTGAATAACACTCGCACTAGTAGTACTTGCTCGATAATACTCGCTCGAATAGTAACCACCGAATAGTGATCCGTATAGTGATCCATAGAGTGATCACTATAGAAAAATAGTATAGTGAATAGAATAGAGAATAGTGATCTGTATAGTAATAGAGGATAGTGTAGAAATAGTGATCACTTAGACGCCACGCTAATTCCCATATATATATTTCTTTACCATCACGTAATCCACTTATTCAAAATGGGATCGCCTGTGTTTGTTCTTTGGTGATCTGTGTTCAAACTCCAGTGTCGTCAGCGACACTTTATTCCTATACAACAACTACGCGCCTAATATGGTCGATTTGCCAAGGAGTTGAGTTTTTGTTTATATGAAACAGGAGAGGCGATTCCCTCCTGTGGTACGTTTGTATTTCCTGTAATCTATGCCACTGTTTGATCTGGAATTGCGTATACAGAATAATTCGGAATCCGCGCAAGGTTGTTTTACCGCGAGGGTAATGCCATTGGTGAAAAGCTTTTAATGACACTAGATTATACGCTGTCAGAAATTATAACTATGGTCACCTCGGCATAGCTGCAGCATAAACAACAGATTAACTGTAGATATTAGAGAAACGTGCCTGAGCATTCGTGTACAATACGGAATTGTTACATCACATTATTTACATTATTCGGACTATTGTCTTCATCTTTGTTGCCATATTTATCACAACGTTTCGAACATTGTACGCTCCGGCCTTCTTCAGGTGGTTGGAATGTCGAACTGAACCCTTTATTTCACTCGCTGTTCTAGTTCCACGTGACATGTCAAAAGGATGTCAGTTATTAGTTATCTCCTGTTAATTTCACTCTCCAAGTTCTCCACTGCCTTAACCAGGTATTGAACTCACACTCTTTGGATCCTGTCACTGGATCTAACTAACGCTTTTATCCACTGTACCGTGTGTCCTTGAGGAAACATAGACATATAGAGAATAGTTTGTTTGTTTAATGGCATATCAACTACCTATGGGTCATAATGGCGAAATATAATTTTCTTGGGAAGACAGTTTCACAAGCGAAAAGTGCAAGAAAAAAAACTGGAAGCATAAAATATAGCCATTTCAACTGTAATATGATGAGACCGAGCCGCCAATCTAGTACTTCTTTTAAATTCATAAAGAATCTGTATCATAGAGGAATGTCATCGTAATGATTTTCTTTTACAAAAATATATTGCTGTTACTTTTTTTTGTTTCAAAATGCATTGTTGGTAACACTTTTATTTTTTACAAAAATATATTGCTAGTAATTGGTTTTAAATTTTTTTACAAAAATATATTGTTGGTATTTTTTTTATGAAAATGTATTGCTGGAATTTTTAATATAAAATGTATTTTTATACTTTCATAGTGTTTTGACTCCAGTTTAAGGATTAACTATTTTCCTATAGTTCGTTCTCCAACAGATGTTACCACACCGGGTCAATTAAGAGGTAGTTCCACGCTCCTCAAAACCTCTAACCTCCCAATCAGAGGCCTTGCTGCTGGATATAGTTTATCTGGTGTGCAATTACCTAGACTAAGTTTAGAATAGGCCACGTGACTCAGGTTAATAGTCCACAGTCAGTACAGATCGATGGAGTATCACGTCACGTGAAGGACCTACGTCCCTTCATGGGATCGGTCCCGACGACTGGACATGACAGCGATTCTGAAGAGAGTGAACGGTTAGTAAATCTGAGATCGACTCCACTAGAAGAACCCGATAACTCCCTTGATAATGAATCATTTGAAGACTCCCCAACTATCGGCAGTCAAAATACTAATGCGGTACGACTTGATAGCTCCACTGGTGGCAGTTCATCTGAGGACGAAGCTCGTGTTGTTCTACTTTGGAAGAGTACTAAGCAAAAGAGACCTGCTCCCGACTGTATTTTTTGTAATCAGGAGGTCAGGGGTTAGTGTGCTAAACAATTAAGTAGTCAAAGTAGCTTGAATCTGGTGCAAAGGAAAATAAGTTCCTTACCCCGATACACGTAGCAATGGCGTTTTGTTCCTTGAAAATAGCATGAATATAACCCCCACACCACACTTTAGATTATTCCGGAAGTGTATATCCTGTAACGTTGTTTTATTTTATACAGCTTATCGCAGTGCTACTAATAGCAATTCGCGTGCTGATTGGTCGAACAGGAAGATGCCATTTGACTGGAGAGAAATTGACGAACGCTACTTGGTTAGTCAGCCGGGGTTTGAAGGGTTGAAGTAGTGAGATGAGCGATTTTTACATTGGTGACGTGAGCGGGAATTCAAGAACGGCGTATTGAAAAGAAGTATTCGGTGTCGTACGGGCGACGTCAGAGAAATATAACTTCATTTAACTACAGGTTATCGTCATACACAGGACACACAATAGACGATTAGTCCTAAAGGATCGTCACACTCGGAAACGAGCAGTTATTTATTTAGGTACTGTTTTTTTTTATTTTATTTAGTTAATATTCATCATGGAATTAAATTCATTCCCAGAGAATGAGCTCAGGTTTAAAAATAAATGCTTCTTTAGTAAACACTAACTTCTCGAGATTGCATTTTGTTGTAAATTACTTCAACATGAGGCATAATCTGATGAAAAATCTCTAAGCAAAACATGAAATTATCATCATTCAGGTATTATAAAATTCCTGTTGTGTCTGTAATGGTTTGATCTGCATTTGATGTTGACTTAATTTCATTAAGGTAGCGTTTTAAAGGTTGCAAATTTTCATGAACTCCGTATGTTAAAGTTCCACCTTGTAGAAAATGGACATGGAACGCTGATATCTATATGCTTCTTATTAAGAAATATAGAGAAATTTATTTAATGAAAAAAAAACGTTTAAACAAAGTAACTATAAACAATTTTTTTTTCTATCCTCTGCCAGCCGCAATGATGGAGAAAGCATTACCTCGAACCATGGTCAGTAAGACACGCTGCAAGAGCCACTCTGTTTCGCGAGGCTTATCCTATAAGCGAGACGCAATAGCGCCAATCCTCAATATTAGGCTATAATCTTATTCATATACTTGGTAAATAAAGATATGAATATAGCAAAGAATTTCGAAGTGTAATAAATGCCAGACATTCTATTAAAGAGAGCGCGTAATACTTGGTTTATATTGTCTGTCTGGATTCTAAACTGTTATTTTATGAGATGTTTACGGCGTAGGGTGAGTTGCAGTTACCTGGATGGGTGTCTAAGATAGTAGCGAGTCTCTGCTGCCGGAAATCCCTCTCGGTTTGTTGGAATTGGGAGAGAGGGATCACGTTCGTGACTTGGATTATGTTTCGCATTATTTGATCATTTCTATCTCGAATAAAGCCTTTTTGTTTGTCTCTTAAAATATTTACGAAGAAACTATCAGCTGAACAAGATGGGCGTATAATTGATTTCTTCGCCTGCCTACAAAGGGATATACGTTCTGTCGAAATGCATTCTCGTCTGTTTCATTATCCCCAACAAGTTTCTCAGATCAGCAGGAAAAACGGAATATTAAATGCATATTTGTTTCGATTTCAGTATTAAGTTAAATTACGAATTTTGGGTCTTAAGAATGATCAGTCCACAAATATTGTATCTAATTCAAAATGTTTTCGTATTTGAATCACGTACTTGTTAATATATATATATATATATATATATATATATATATATATATATATATGTGTGTGTGTGTGTGTATCACATTAATCTATTAATATATATATATATATATATATATAATAAAGTTTAAACACTAATATTCCATGGTCATAATTTAATTATCACCAATTCATCAGACCTACTTGTAGGTCTGATGAATTGATCGTATTTACGATTCCAATGGAATAAATTATGACCATGGAATATTAGTGTTTAAGCCTTTTTATTATATCCTTACTCTGTCCTGGACATTGAGTTCTACCTGGATTCTATCGTTCTGGAATTTTTATTAAAAAAAATACACATGTATGTGTATGCACCTATGTATATATATTTATATATTTTGCATATGTATGTGTATATTTACCACTAATATTATCTATCTATCTATCTATCTATATATATATATATATATATATATATATATATTAATCGGTATGAACCCATGCAAGGCTGTAAAGCAACTGAGACAAGACGGCGAAGAAGTAGAGACAGAATCAGTAAAATGAGCGGGAAGAGAAAAAGTAATCGGGAGGACAGTAGATAACGATTGGCACTGAATTTAAATTTTCGCTGATTAAAGTTGGCTGGAAAACCTGGAGTCCGAAAATAGTTCCATAGGTGAGAAAAGTGAGAAAGGAAACTGTTAGTATAGAATTTAGAGTTAGATCTAACCAGCTGCACAATAATTTGATTAAATCTTGTACTGCGCTTATATTTAAAAAGACTAGGTACCATATATATATATATATATATATATATATATATATATAGATAGATAGATAGATAAACCTGGTGAGCCAGACAAACCTACCTAGGTTTCACCAAAACGGATCGTCAGGGAAAGTCGGCTAAAGAGGCAAAGGGAAACGCATATTTATAGGCGATAGCCAAAATTATACCATGTGACCAAAGAAAGAACCACAAACGCAAACACAAAACCTGAGTGGGTGGAGGGGGTTGTTAAAGATTTATTCAACAAAAAGGGGAGGGGATATTAAAATACGAACATTAAGGTGTAATGACAAATAAACGGGAAAAAAGGTCTAATTTAGTAACCAAGATTTTTTATGCCTACATACGCTAAGAATTTTGGAGTTTAATAGCTGGTTAGGTTGATCATATAAAGCTATGGCTAATTTCTCCTCTCTACATAATTTACAAAATTTTTGGCCTGCTTTATATTTGGGGCATTTTTTAAAATATTTCCCATTTAAGGATGGGGTCTTTATTATCTTCTTGTTTGGTTTTCCATGCATAGGTGGATAACGTGGTACTATATATATATATATATATATATATATATATATATATATATATATATATATATATATAACAACTATACAACTATATATATATATATATATATATATATCAGACAAAGTGATTTATCTTTTAAATTTTGAAAGTATCCTTTTTTCTTTGATTATGCTTGGTAGTCGTGGTGGGAGGAAATTCTCCTTTGTGTCCGGCATTGTTCCTATATGTATGTATTTGTGTGAAACATAATACGTACACCTCTATGTATATGTCTCCTTGCATATGAGCGTCATCCCAAAACGGAAACAGAGGAGAATTTCCTCACCCAAACATAATCAAACAAAAACTGACACAAATAGTTTCAAATTAAAAAAAAAAAATCAGTTTTCTAATGATCGCAAAAGTGTGAAATCCAGGGTTACAAACTGATATCCATACAATTAAATATATTAACTCTGTCACTAATATTGATCGCTTTCCAGCAAGTAACACGCAATAATATATATATACATACATACATACATACATATATATATATATATATATATATATATATATATATATATATATATATGTATGTATGTAACCTTCGTATCCGAAGATGACGTATCGTTTCTGCATCTCATTTGTGAACTGGCAGGTAGCTCAGCAACACCAGTCGGGAGGCGCAAAGCCTAGAACAGTAAGAAACACTGAAAGTCCGTTGTCGTAATCTCTGCTTATGATGCCCTGTGGCGTTGATCATAATATATATAGAAATTACATATATATATATATTTTTTCTAGAATTACGTTTTATTACTATAAATGTAATTTTTAGTGAATACACCTGGTTCATTTACTATTACACATCGAAATTAAATCAAGCGCCCTGAACTGAGAAATCGTACTTAAGAAACATTGAGCCTCCTACAGGAATCAAACTAGCATACTTTTCTCAGATCAGAGAAAGCACTTTTTAAGGAAAAATGCGTATCCACCACTACGGACAAAAAAAGTGCCAGGCAGGAAGATAAATTTGCCTGTATAAAGAGAGCATTCGTTCTCGTTGGAACAGCACATAACAAAGAAAAGGTACATTGGATTAGCTGAAGGACACTAGAAACAAATAAACTACGCACACAAAACATCCTTTACGAACATCATGTTTTCTAAACATATCTGGAAGAACAAAAACGATAAATCAAAACAAAATTATAATGGAAAAGAAGGAAAAGAACACCAGCCTACAACAATCAACCTAAAATCTCTGCCTGGAGGAGAAATAATTACATTCACTGAACTAAACAAACTACTAAATAAAGGATCGGAACTCATCTCAAAATGCAGACATGAAAATAAATGTTTAATACTTACTTAAAAATCGAAAACTAAAAATGAACAAGAACAGATGAAAATAAAAAAAATAGATAAATAAGCGAAAATAAGTAAAATAAATTAATCCCAATAAAAATATAAGTAAATAAACGATGTAAATGATAAACAAATTTACAAACCACGCCCATCAAAATAACCGTTAGAATATTACAATAGATTATCTACAACACAATAGACTACCCGCAATGCAACAGACTACCGACAAAGCATCACTGATTATACATATATATATATATATTTTGAGCAAAAACACAACAAACATGGCCTGACGATTACGTTAAGTGTAAAAGAAAATAGTTCCCACTGGGTGTTGATTTCAATGTCCACTATAATATTTAGATACGCTCTGTTCCTGATATTGAGCACATTAAGCCATAGCATACCTTAAAAACTATATTTTATCATATATATATATATATATATATATATATATATATATATATATATATGATATTTGTTGGATAGATGTGAGTTTGTGACCCTGGGTTTCACGCTTAAGTGATCGTCAGAGTTTGTCTGACGAACGCTAAAGCGTGAAACCCAGGGTCACAAACTCACATCTATCCAACCAAATATGTTAGCTCTATCTCTGATATTGAGCGCTTTCTAA